GCATGGATCTACTTCTGTTGATAAGAAATAGCCTTAAAATAAAATAGTCAGCTATGAAACACTTTTGTTAAGTACTTTATTGCTTCTATATATTTTTCAAAGAGAATCGAATAAAATGTTTAAAATCATTGTAGTGTAGTAATCATTTATATCAACATAAAACTTACTGTCATAAAAACTAGATTGATAAATATAAAACTAGGAGTAATGTAACGAAACAGATTATAAATTATGTATGCTCGTGCTGTTTTTTTTTTACATAGTAATGAAGCAACATGCATTATCTAATACACAACAAGTAAATACTATTCGATTATAAATTCTACACGATTGAATAATTTGCAAAAAATTTCGTTCAAACATATTATACAGATATCCTAATTGATTTTTAATTTTGATTCAATGTGAAGAATTACTTTAATTGATATGTTCAAGTTTTACCTATAATGGACGAAAACTGAAAATAATTGAATAAATCTATCATCTTGTTAGTTAAGAACAGATTGAACTTAAGTTGTATTGATTGAAACTTTTCTGTTTTGAATGATGTCCACGATAGAACATATACATAACTGAGGATTTTTCATCATATAGACCTTGTTACTGCTTAAAAGCAAGTATTTATGATCGTTTGTAGAAAGAAAAAAAGTTAAATCTTATAAGTTCTTACGAAATCCTATAGATCACTTTGATGATTCGATACAATATATCATGGATTATTCATACACATAAGAATTCAAGAATAATAAATATAGATCATTCAAACGAATATAAAAAGAAAAATTTTCTCTTTTCTCATGTGATTTATCCTTTTGAAACTATGATCTTCAAAGAATTAAAATGATGCATAATAGTATGATTGATGATGAAAGAAAAAATAAAATCACTTGAGTCTCTTACTTTATGGTTGTAGATACCTATGACGAGGACAGTATAATATATATACTCAAGAATTTATTGTACCGAAGAAAAGAAATCATAAATATTGTATTATCTGGAAAATATTGAGAGTACAAACTTGACTTCAATATTCTAGAATTGTTCATATGAATCAGATCGTGCTTTTTTCTAACTAGACAATTGACACTTGAATGTCGAACTTTGTTGAATATCGTAACTTGAAGAAAACAACAAATATTTTTGTATTTTGCAGTGTATGATTGAGTATTGTAATGATGAACTTTTATGTTCGAATTGCTTGAGGATGATCATTGCTTTTGTGATTTGGTACAAAAAGTAGTTCTAAAGTATTTTCAATATAAAATCAATAATTAGAAACTTGCTCTCGTTCCATACTTGTCGCATTTTTAAGAATATTTGACTTATCAATTGAAGGAAAGACATTTCATGAAATTGTAGTTGAAATAAATTTCTCATTTTAACTATTCTTTTGATTCGAAGAGCTCACGTTCAAGAATATATGGCAAAATCAAGAATTGAAAATCTATGTCTACGTCATGTACGGATGTTAAAATGTTGATAGAAATAATGGTCCACTGAATTATTCGTTGCAGCTTCGTAGCTGATCGTCGAGAACGAAGTTTATATGTTTGTTAAATTTTCAAGTTGATTATATACTATTTTCTCTCGAAAAATCATTACTTTTCCTATGCTATCGGCATTTAGTTACAACTTCTAAATTATAGAGCATATGGATGAACTTTCTAATTCAATGTTTTTTACTCACAACTCAATTCTTCGATCAAATTCATTCGTTTTGTTCCTGAAAAACGAATAAAATTATTCTAGACACAGCAGCTGAACTGTACATAATGTAACTTTCTTTTTTTCGTGTTCATATAAGTAAAACGAAATTAAAAATTTTATTCTCATCGGTATAAACAGCTTTACTAATTCAAAAAAAACAAAGTATACTTAAATAATGTTGTAAACGTTGTTTGTCGGTTGTATAACATAAACATTATTTATTGTTTCAACATGATTCTATAGAAAGAGTGTCGTAAAGAGGAAATTGAACATAATGAAGAAGATGATGTTTTTTTTATATCTAATTTTTGCTTAGTATTTGAGAATATTTTAATTGTTCTTGTTTAGTTGTTTGTTTAATTTGATTTATGCTTGATTTGTAATGATCTATGTTTATCAATATTTCTTTTTGATTCATGTTGATCAGCAATATCCACTTGATGTGGAACATGAGATAAATGTAGTCAACGTTCATGCAGAAGTTTATCAGCGCGACGAGCAAATAAAATAATATCATCTCGAGCATTAGGTGGATTTTCAAGGAGATACTCTACATAATTTTCATAAAATGCTTCAATATTTAAAATAAAACGAGTTATGGAACTCACAGAATTCGAATGAGAAATATTTTTTGTTTTGTCTGTAAAACAAGATTTGTTTAACATACATCATGTTCTGTGTTAAAGACGTTGTGGTGAGTATGAGTGGATGCGGAGGTGGAGGTGTAAGTGAAGAGAAGACCCACACATCAAACCCACAGGCACCCCGACAAATCCGACACTCACACCCGCTTTCTGACATGTGATTAGAGAGTTATGCACTAATTACATTTTAATTAATTAACTAATTAGATAATTAAGTTTAGTTAGGTACCAACTGAAAGAACCAATATTCTTATGTATATTCATGACAATAGAATTTTTTCGAAAAAACAAACCTTCATAAAAGGCATGAGTGTAGACATTGCTGTAGGGTCTGGTATGGCTAGTCTCTCAGAGCCTACCAATGCTAACATTTACACTCTAAACTCGAATTCGAACATCAAACTTCAAGTTTCAAACTGATTGGTTTGGTGCATCCCTATCATTGATTATTGTTGTATGTTTGATAGTATGACAATTGTGGCGCTTTTTCTCGTATTTATTCTCTCTTGAGTATCGATAAAAATAAATACTTACTCGTAAGAAAAAGAGAAGAAGAAGCGTGCGTTTGCTGTTCTTTACACTTCGCAATATCACACACGAAATAGTTGTTTGTCATTCTCAAATGCAGAACGAACAAATCTTGCTCTTGTTTTCAAATCTCTTATGTCACGTGACTTGTCGACATGCCTCACTATTGAAGGCGAAATGCAATCACTCGTTTGTTAGCTTTACTTTTCATTTGATAGAGTCGTTTGAAATGAGTTGGAGCGAATTCTATTGCGTTTTCTAGTGTATTACAATGTTTTTTAGATACTCGTAACATTACTGACCCACACATCATCATGCCATCTATCCATATCATTTATCTATGGTTAGCTTTGATTTTACCCTGGTTTTTCGCTCTGCTCTATCTGTTCGTTCCTGGCGGTACGATACAATACTTTGGCGGTGTTCCTACTCCGTCTGCTGAGTTTTGGGTTCAGGTCGTCGCCAGTGGAGATATTCTGATTGGGTTTTTGGCCTTGGTAGGATTGAGAACCAGTAATTCTAAGGTGTTACAATTAGTTTTTCAAGCAATTGGTGTGTATAATATATTTCATACATTAACATTCTGGTGTAATCATCTATTTCGTCAAGCACATCCTGCTGGTTCGTCCTTTTACATTAGTTCATTAATAATTAGTAGCATTGCCTGGGGTTGGTGGGGTTGGTGGAATCCATATCAATTTGATGATGAACATACAAAGACGAAGATGAAATAGTGCGATTGAAATTGAATACAACAAAATAACTAACAACATCAATAGATGCACTACTAAAACATAAATTTGCTTGAATTTTGAACGGTTCGGCTTTTCTTCTCTGCTATTGTCTTTATGCGGCCATGCTCTAATCCTAAGTTTTATATCAGAAGATCATCGATTTAAAGATATAGTGACAAAATTTGAATAGAATATAATTTTGTGAATCAGTTAACCAGAGGTAGAGTTTAATTAATAAGACACAGTTCAATATTATCCATCACTTTCTAGTCGATTATTTCCTACAAATATGAGGTTGAATTTAGTGGAAATCTTATGACACATCTCATTTTCCATTGTCGTTGTGTTTAGTGATCTGATTTTTCTAAACTCGTAAAACAGAACATACGATATAAGCATAATCAATGGTATGCAAAGCGGAAAAATAGAAAAGTAAAAACTTTTACAGTGAAATTATATTAAAAAACAAATAGAAGAGCAATAAGTGAAGGATGTGGGTATGGATATTCTTTTTTTCGAAGCATGTTTAGCAATTCGTTTGTTTTCTTTAACAGTAATATTAATGATTGTCGTTTAAGTTTTATTTTAATATGATATTTTTATAAATAAAAAGAAGAATCAACATATGGGCTCACTTGCAATTTCATTTCTTGATAATATTGACAAAGACTTTGTTGTATATCGTCATGCTTAGTAAATTGTTAATTCAGATCTTTATTCTAAGCAATATCAAAAATATTATGTCTTTCATTATTATATCTGAACAAAAACAACAATAAACAATTTTATTTTATATTTTAGAAAAACAGAAATGACACAAATAGTGTTAATAGAATTTGTCCAATAAATTCTTTTTAATCATCCATCTTGAGCTTGTTTAGGTAGTATCATGAAAAGATGTCTAGACATTATAGTAATGTGTTAATTTACATCGATCGACTTTGATTTTTTTTTATCAAATGAATAATAATAATTTTGAGCAAGTAACTTCAAACCGATAATTTCAAGTAATCTAATGAAACGAAACAAAAAAAATCCAGTAATAATATAAAGATTAGTTATGAATTACTTGTGAACAATTAAATTAATCAAATGAAAAAAAAACTCAGGTGATTCAGGTGAAGCTGTTACTAATTCATTAGTAATAGAATATTTACTGAAAACAGGTTTTCCCCTATAGTATACCAACAAAAATTAATTCCGAATGAAGTCATGAAAGAAAAAAAGTACCGTTTCAAAATCTTCGAAAGAATAAAGAATTATTCCACGAAAAACTACATCTTCAATACTGGTTTGAGCTAATGTTTCACGATGACTTTTTCGTAATTTAATCTAAAACCGACATTCAACGATTAGTTTTTCATAGGAAAAAGTTACATTGGTTTCGAATAATTTAGGTGAAGCCAAAATGTTGATATAATTAGCTGAAATTTCTTCTCCACTTTCACCTTGCTTAGAATTAAATTCACTTGGTTGAGTTTTAAAAAATTTTGAAGTTGTTGGATAACAATCACTATTATCTGTTGCCATAGATTGACTATCCAAATGTGTCGTCACTGCTGACTGTGTCTAAAAAATTAAAAAAATTATTTTAAATCAATAGAAGAAAAATCATTTTTTTATCAATGGTTTCGAACTTGTCACATCAGCTATAATACTACTATGTTTGTCCGAAACTAAATCTATCTATCGAAAAAAAATTTTTAAAATAGAAATTTAATCATGATTACGTGATTTCGTCTATTCACGCAAATACATTGTTTCTAAAATATCAATGAATCTATTTTAAAAGTTTATGTTGCTTTTCTTGCTTAAACAACAGTTAAGATGAAATGTAAATGTATTAAATGGATGATTAGAAGGAATATAAATGATCGATGATATTTAATATTTTCTCTTTCTATGTGAACACTGAACGAGTAAAAAAGAATTTGAATATCTCCGTTATGTTGTTACTAAATCAGCTAATTCTTTTTTCTGATGATAGAGGAAAGATCCAAGTTTTTATTCTTATAGGAGAAATTGACAAATAATGTTCAAAATTATCATTCTTGACACCAATACAAAAATCAACTTTTCTTTCTGATTCAGAGGAATATTTATGATGAAAGATCGCAAATAATTAAAGAATTTTGAATTCATATTTTGCTCATTAGTAAAGGGTTACTAGACTACAGAAGGGTTCATGTCCTTGCTGCGCGTTAATCAAGCTGTTGAATTTCTACTGAATTAACTTCCATAGATTTCACGAAGCAAAAAGCGATTTTCTCTGAATTTTAATCGAGAATAATTCTACAGCAATCACTAACCTGAAATTTAACCCAAACAATGCGGTTATTTAAACTAGTATGTGTAGGAAGTTTCAAAGTCTTTAGATGTCGTCTCTTCTCTATATGAAATTTTCAAAATTTAGTGCCTTCTCATTGATATTCAGTAAATTATGTAAAGTTTCATAATTTCAATCAACATGAACGGGCCCGACTATTACTTGTGAACTTTTCTCATAAGAATAAAACTTGCATCTCTCCTCTATCATCAGAAAAAAGAAATAACTGATTTGATTAAAGTACGATAGAGATGCTCGAATTCTTTTTTGATAGGTGACTTTTGAGATATCTTTTATATAGATATTCAAACAGAAATGTGCATATTTCGAAATAAAACGAAACGGAACATACATACACACTGAGTGCGTGTTTCTTTTAGTTAAGGTAGTTAACTTTTCTTTATTGCAGCAGATGAATTACTATATGTATATGAGAATAAGGAAAAACCTATAATAGAGAATATTCCAAAAGCGATGATAAACGAGAGAAGAAAGTCACCGGTACAATGTTAAACAAGAGAACAAAGAAAACAAAGGATCTCTCTAGGCATGTCCTTATGAATATAAAGCTTGAACATGCCTCTATCATTGGTAAAAGAATCAGCTCTTTTGCTCGAGCCATAGTGAAGATATTCAATTTTTTTGCGGCAAAGTGACTTTTGCGCCACTCGGTATAGTGTTTTTTTCCTATCTGTGAAAAAGTAAAATTTTTTTTGTTGAGGTCGTTAATGGTACTTAACAAAGGCTCTCTCTAACCTTGTCTGTATGGATTTAAAGTGCGAACATGCTTCTATTATTGGTAGAAAAATCAGCCTGTTTGCTCGAGCCGTAGCAGAGAGATATGCAATTTTTTCTAACTCTAGTGACTTTCTGGACACCCTATAGTATGAAAAACTCGACTTATTTCCCTTCTTTTTATTAAAGTTATTCAAAAACTACCCATAGCCATTTCACTCTGAAATGAACATTAAATTATATTTTACAACTAGGGTGTATGTCGGTCTTTAGTTGAAGTATACTCGTACACCCACACTCACACCCAAAAATCAATGTTATAAAATTATACAAGTATAACGTACATGATTAAATATTTATTTTCATGTCTATGGAATGAAAATTCAAGAATATGAACAACAATATCAGGAAAATCTACGTTTGTTTCAACTAAGATTTAACAGCAACAATAATATCGATAGAAAAAACGTGAAAGACTATCTTGCTACATATCATCGTGTAGACCGAACAAAATCGATTATGATATTTATTCAAAAAATCTTCACAATCGTCTTGATCTTCGTTACATGACTCCGTTATCAATGACTGATCAAATACGTGCTCAACGAGAATTAGATACTGTCAAATCGACTCGTCACAAATTGAAAAAATACACAGGTATTCTTCGTGAAACCGACAAAAGTGGTGTATTTTGTGGTCTTCGAATTGTTGATTATGAATAAAAAGCAATCGAATATCGAGAAAACAACAGAAGTTTGTAAGGAATTAATATCTAATCCATCTGAAGCAGTATTAAATTAAGTGATTCACTTACTCAATGATCTTCATGCGAAAGAAGGAAAACTTTTAGCTTGAAAATACAAAGAAATGTAGCCTGATATACAGACGCGAAAACTATCTTATATATATTGTGATCCAAAAACATATAAGACAACAAAAAAACTAATTTTCTTTTATTTTAATTCAAAAACTATCTATGAATAAAATAAATAGTAAGCATTAGGATAACTTTTCAGTATCAAATTCAGGAAGTTCCTAAAATTTTACGCTGTACTAGCAGAGAAAAGTTCCTTTCGTGAGGCAGTTTAAACTAGATCTCATTTATAATGATGAATATCAAGTTGAGACGGATACGAACATAAAATAATTTCAAATAGTTCAATGTTTGTCAAAATCTATGAAATATGTTTTTTGGAGTTTCTTCATCAAAACGATTGTGTTTCATGTCTGATAGTCATTATTTTCAGTTTCATTTTTGATTATTGTTCCAATATTTTCAGGTCAAGTATCCATTACTTTTTAATATTCATCATTTTAAATGGGATCTGGTTTAAACTACTTCACGCAAGAAACTTTTCTCCGCTGATATAGCGTAAAATTCTAGGAGTTTTCCGAATTCAACACTGAAAAGTTATCCTAATACTTACTATTTAGTATTGATGAATCCCATCTTCGAGATACTTTAATTTGGTATAAAATTTGTTGTGAATGTCATTTGAAATTACAGCGTTACCTCGCTGAAAAAATACCTTTACATACCCTGTACCATGAGTAAGTTGATCATATTGAAATCTATATCAAATAAATGAAGAAATTCTTTATTTTCTTCAATGAATGTTTAGTTATCCATCCACATTAATTAACAGAGAATTTCATAAATTTTTTGATCAATATGATTGATGTCCTTCAATTCTACCAATGATTAATGATGAAAGTCAATTTATGCTTATACATAATGAAATTACACCTAAACCTAAGTCAAGACAATCACAAGTTGCACTGGATATAGCACTGTCTAAAATTGACGATAACGATGATGATGATGAAAGAAAATTACAACAATAAATCCAACATTGAATCAACAAGACAAAAGAGCGAATACAAAGAATGTCTATTTCACCATTATGCATATGAGAAAAGATTGACATCTCTCAAACGACATATACATAAAGTCTACGATCAAATCTTTCATGATATAATAGTGGCAGATGCAAACTTGATTGTTGGAAATCGAAATAATCCAAAAACAAAGACAAAACTTACACGAAGAAAACGTCCACACAATCCATTCCGACGACATGGTTTTGTGCCGAATAAGTTTAGATTATTTTATTAATCATCAACAACTTTCTTAAAGAAATATATTTTATTTCATTATATAGGACAAAAGTGCACGGCTGTCAAACCAACGGCTACATAATCCCTTGACAACTTTTAATCATGCTTATAAACAGTGACACTTTCTTTCCTAAAATTACGTGGATCATTTATTTCTTTCATAACAATAATAAAATGATCTTCAAAACAATTTCTTTCTTTTTTCTACCTTTGAAACACTGATTTATCGAATCCCATCGTTCAGTCTAGATCCAAAAAGTATATCTCAATTTATTCATCTTATGCTAATCAAATGCAACTAACACAACTTTCATCAAGTATCGAGCTTATATTACAAGTCTCAAAAGATACTTCAAACACAACAAATCAACAGCGAACGATCAGCGCTGCATGAAAACTGATCGTGATATGCTCTTCTAAAGTAGATACGACCTAGCATCGCTTCGTGTAAAGTCAAGCTTGTTTCTGATTCAAGTGCAGTTGGATCGAAACGACTACCATCTGAAGATTTTCGTTGTGGAGATAAAATGTTAACATCATGATTGCTCTACACACCCACCCATCCTGTCCATATTATTTCAATCATCCTTGATAGATATGGACATATATAATTCTTTTCCTTGGCTATTGGAATTCATGATGATTATTTATTATTAATTCTATTATTTTGATGACTTAATGTGCAAAAGTAAATAAACACAAGAATATTGTAACAAAGCAGAATTCTGATGTTATTTTCTTTCATTTTGGACTATTCAAAGAATGATATAATGTCAATGAGAATGAAATTCCATCTGAAGACGTTCTGACAAAACAGAAAAAAACGCCGTTTGTCGTGGAACGATCAATATTCTATACACAGATATTGTAAAAGCTATACAAATCACTGGCAAAGCAGATATCCATCGGCTCTGCAGTAAGTATTTTGTTTGTGATTTTCGCATCATTTCGAACAAATACACGACAAAGTCAAAGCCATCTGATGAGCGTCTTACCTGGCATAAAATCTGGATCATGGCATGCTCGACATACCCCTTGCATGAAGTTTGGAATTATTTATTTTTTCAGCTACGATATTTGAAAAAGAAAAATTTCGCATAACTTTTGCCGCTTTCAATTATTCACAATCGGATAAAACAAAACATAAAATCTCTTTTTAATAGGTATAGAATGAAGTGATATTGCTCTTGATGAGATTGATGAGACCCATAAGATCAAAATTTTTGCAGAATTTTACTTCTGTAATAGCTTGGAAAATAATCACTTCGATAAATTCGTATATCTGTGTTGTATTTTGAAATACAGTATTTATTAAGAATACTGAAGAACATAAAATAATGATTAGATATAA